GCAGTATCTAGTCTTCAGAAAGCAGTATTTAGTCTCCACAAAGCAATTTTAGTTTTTAGAAGGCAGTATTTAGTGTTCCAGACGCTGTATTTAGACCTGTCGGAAGTATCTAGTCTTCAGAAAGCAGTATTTAGTCTTCTAGAAGCAGTATCTAGTCTTCTGCCAACGTTATGTATGTTTTATGTTGCAAGCCTTTAGTGATGTTGAAGCTTTCTGATACTTGTTTGTTTATCTTTACTGCTGCTTCTGCCCCTCTGTATAATTCTTATTACGTCTTGATTAACGTGACATTTATTGAGATTTGTTGTTCTTCCTGTAGCTAGTTTCTTCTCTGTGATTTGGTTTAGACTGAATATATTATCCATGCACGGTCTACCCGCTCTGAATCTCGCTTGTTCTTCCATTTCACATGAAGCCCATTCTTCTTGAACAATATTTTTCACTATTCAACCATGTAGTCTACTTAAAGAATTTGTGACTGTTAGATACCGGTAGTTATTACTGTTCTTTTTATCTTTTTTTTTATGGATTGGTGTTATCCATCCTTTCTTCCAAGCCTCTGGACTTCGCCATTCGCAAAGTCTTGAAAGATATCTGCCAATATTTCTAGCAATGAGTCCGGTGTGTTTTTTATTAGCTCAATTTCTAAGCTCTAGCTAGACCACTTGTCTTGTTGTTTTTCATTGCCATCAGTGCTTTTTCTACCTTTTCTGCTTTTATTTCTACCGCAGGACCTTCTACTCTATGTATTTCTGTGGTTTGCGTTATGAACTGTGTGAATGTTTCCAAACTGTTACAAGTATGAGTGGTATGTTTAATTTTTCATTATTATTCTTTCCTTCTGTAATCAGCCTTGTTCCTTGGTGTAACCTGATTAAGCCATTTCTGCTGTATGCTTTTTGTTTTAGCAAATCTTTGTTCCATATCATTTTGTTGTTCAAGTTGAACTTAGTTAACCAGTGTTGAAATTAGTTAGCCAATTTAGTTAAATTAACTAATTTCAATCAGCAATTGATTCAGTACAGTACGACATCTACAATTAAATCTCAATCAGTAGAGTAAGATTGTACAAAAAACCATGATATTATTAATTAAATAAATTAATTCAATAAATGGAAATTATTGAAATTGTGATGTAAAATTAAAAACAACCTAATTCTGATATAACTGTGTTTTATTTATTTTCAAATACATTCAGTATTATTTCTAAATGGCATTGTTTTTTTTTAATTTACTGTTGGGCAAAAAACCATCTATCAGAAAATTAATAGAAACGAATCAACAGATTGTTATCGAAAATACAAAATAAAATAAACAAAGAGTACCTCACGGAAAAAACTAATTAAAAAACTAAACTAGAACATCAAAAAGAAACATTATCAAAAACGATCAATGCAATAAACTCATTACGAAGTTTCGAATAATTTTTTTGATGTAGATGTTTCTATTTAATTATAATTATTATTTATTCTTTAGTTCCCATTCTTTAATCGTTTGAATTAGTTTTCCTTTTATCTTTTAGTGAATAGCGATTAGACCAGCATCAAGTAACTTGTGAATTTTAGCGGCGATATCCGGGTTTTTAAGATGATCTTGAAGCGCTCTAGGATCATTTTGCATCTGTTCTAAAATCAATCGCATTGCGGGATCTCTCATAATCTGTTGAACTTCGGGATCAGCCATCGCTCGTCTTCTTATTTCCTCAGGATCTTTTGCAGCCCCCATACTATCAATGCTACATTGTCTATAACCTTGAATCGCCTCTTGATTATTTGGATCGAGTTCCAACGCTTTTTGGAAAGCTACTCGAGCTTTAACAGAATCTTGCATAACCTAAAAATAAGGCACAAATAAGTATTGAGGTTATATTAACATTTTCGTTAAAATCTTACTTGTAAAATATGTCCTTTTCTAATCCAACCTTTTATAAATTTAGAATCCAAATCGACGCATTTATCGCAATCTTTTAATCCAAGATCAAAAGCTGCTAATTTTGTATAACAAGCAGCTCTGTTACTGTAAAGTTTTGGATCATCTGGGTTACGATGGATTGCTTCTGTATAATGTTTCACAGCTGTGGCGTAATCGCCTTTTTTAAACAGATCATTACCTTAAAAAAAAGAAATTCGTTAAACTTCTTATTTTTAATTACACAGGCCTGCGTCCAAAAAACTGTTTTGAAACTGAAATGCAAATAGGAAATAGGACAATTATCCCGACAAGTTTTCTTACATTTGTGGTGAACTTGTCATTAAAAAACACCAGAGAAACTTTACAGATTTTGTTAGGAAACTGTATTACTCCTATTTCGGTATGAGATTTCGGGGCCCAACCGGCATGGGCACCTCACAAAGTGTGTTATATTTGAACCAAAAAATCACAGTGATGAATGTTATTTTTGCTACTATGATTTTAATGGCTATAACTCTAAGAATAAAAGAGATATAGTGTACCACAACCTTCCTTCTGCAATGCGACCTGTAGCTCATGGACCAGATGTGCTTGTACTTCAGCCTCCAGCAACGCTAGGTGAGATGAGCTCTAGTAGTGAATAAAAATGAATGATTTCTAAGATCCTTCAGATTATGCCACCCCACAACTTTTTGCTCAATTCGAGCTTGATGATTTGGTGAGAGACTTGGGACTTACCAAGGAGAATGCTGAACTCTTGGGTTTTAAACTAAAAGAAAAAAGCTACTGGCTGCTGGAACATCTTTTTATCAATACAGATTTAGAGATCGCGAATTTATTGACTATTTCAAACAAGAAGGCGGGATGGTCTAGTGTTGTGATGTTCCTGGTTTGGTTCAAAAGGTTGGAATTGAAGACAAAGCTGATAAATGGAGGCTTTTCATTGTTTCTTCAAAAAGAAGCCTGTACTCCTGCACAATGGTAACACATATGGTTCTTTTTCCTCTAGGGCATTCTGTACACCTCAAAGAAAATTACGAGAATTTGAAAGAGGTGCTAAATAAAATTAAATATACAGATCATAACTGGATAGTTTGTGGCGATCTGAAAGTTTGCAGGGAGGAAACACTAATTACCCATGTTTCATTTGAGAATGGGATAGCAAAGTAAGGAATGAACACTGGACTAAAAAAGTATGGCCAACCCAACAAACATTGGAGAAAGGCGAAAAGAACGTTTTCCACAAAGCTTTAGTCGATCCTAGAAAAATTTGTCTTCCCCCTCTTCACATCAAGTTAAGACTCATGAAACAATTCGTCAAAGCTTTATCTACCACTGGTGACTACTTTCAATACCTCTGCACAAAGTTTTCACATTTGTCAGAGGCAAAACCAAAAGAAAGAATTTTTTTTGGAAATTAATACTTGATGAAAAATTTCGGTACAAAATGTCAGGTGTTGAAAGAGAAGCTTGGAATGCTTTCAAAAAGGTGATCACTAGATTTTTAGGGAATGAAAAAGACCCTAACTATATTAGCATTGTAGATGATTTTCTCAAAAAAATTGAAGACCTTGGCTGCCTGATGAGAAAAAAGTTCACTTTCCACATTCTTATTTGAAAATTTTCGCTGAAAACTTGTCTCAATATTCGACGACGTAAAACCAAGGTTTGAAGCTGTCAGATACGTCGTACTTTATGTTACGAAATTTTTAATATTTCCTTTTGTATTTAACTAATAAATTTTACCTAATTCCATTTGAAAATTAAATTTTACATGTCTTTCTGACGTTATGTAACTTTCTTTTTTAACTAGTGATGTAATGATTTCATTAAATCACTAGTGATGTAATGAATTCCATTATCTAACTACAAATTGACATCTGTCACTAATAGAATAAGTCAAGTTTTGAACAAAAATTACTTTTTCAATGGAATTAGATAAAATTTTGTAATTAACCAGTTATGAAAAGGCTAATTTTGTGTAACTCACGTAATTTACAAAACTCGCTCGATTCGCCCGCTCGTTTTGGCACATATTACGTTCGTCAAACAAAATTAGCCTTTTCATAACTGGTTACGTAAATAACTATTACGTCCAGCTACGATAATCAAAGAATTTGATACTATTAACTGTTAATTTATAGTTATGAACTAATTAGAAACACAAAATAATCAACATTTAATTGTTTTATCAATTCATTTCATGTTTAAATGCAAATTTATACATAATAGTACATTTGTTCAATATGTGAGGTTAAATTGATGTGACGTTTAGGTGATTGACATAACATTAAATGAATTCTAAATGTCATTACCGAATTTGGTAGTTTTATTATTTTTATTAATTTATAAACTTTAAAACACGCAGTTTTAGAAAAAATGTTGTTTGATACACGACGGGGAAATTCTTTTGCATTCTCGAACGATTAAATAAATTTTTGAATTAAGTATAAACGTCAATGTGACACAAATTCAATGTTACCAACTTCACAACAATTTGACAAAATTAAATGTCAATTTTATGAAACGTCATGTTTTTTTTTACGAAAATTAATTTATGCTTAAATCACATGAAAAAAGGAATTTGTTTACGTTTTTTTAATGCCAAACCTTTAGAAAGTCCTAAAATGATTAAATTAAATTGACGTTTCTTGAAATTTTGACGTTTCAAATAATTATTATTAGTCTGTCAAGTTATTATTCATTCTGTTAAAAATGATTACCCTTTTGTTGTAGAAAACTCATTTATAAGGTAGTTATTATAAGGTAGTCATGGACAAATTAATTTTTTTAAATAAATTTTTGAATAAAGTTCACAAATTCAATGTCACCAACTGTAACCAACTTCACAACAATTTGTCAAAATTAAATGTCAATTTTATGAAACGTCATGTTTTTTTAAGAAAATTAATTAATTTATGCTTAAATCATACGAAAAAAGGAATTTGTTTACGTTGTTTTAATGCCAAACCTTTAGAAAGTCCTAAAATGATTAAATTAAATTGACGTTTCTTGAAATTTTGACGTTTCAAATAATTATTATTAGTCTGTCAAGTTATTATTCATTCTGTTAAAAATGACTACCCTACCCTCTTGTTGTAGAAAACTCATTTATAAGGTAGTTGTGAGAAATTAACTATTAAACCTAGTAGAAAGGTATTTTTAATTATTTTAAAATGTTTATAATTATGATTCAAAGATGGCGACACTTTCAATGACATTTCAGTTAAGGTTAGAAATGTCATTTTGACATTTAAAATTAAAAAAAATCAGTTTATTTATAACTTATTTACCTTTTTCCTTTTCTTCTTCAGCTTTGGCGGGATCAATATAAGCTTTTCGTTCCTCCTCCTTCATAATTTTTTCAACTTCAGACAGCAAAGTTTTAATTTCTGGCGTTCGATGTTCGCTCATAGATTTCTCGAAATAAACTTTAGCTTGTTTCCAATTTTTAAGTTTCTTATAAGCGTTACCGATCCTAGTAAAAGCTTTAGCAATTAATTTAAAATCGGCTCTGTTTTCTCTGCCGGTTTCAATTCCTTTTTCGCATTCCTCAATACATTTTTCAAATTGTTTTTGTTCGAAATAAACGGCAGCCAAATTGTTAAAGAAAGTTATATCGGTGGGATCGTGTTCTTTAGCTTTATTGTAATGTGCAATGGCCGATTCAAAATCTTTTTTCTTGTAAGCTTCGTTTCCTAGTTCTTTTTCGTTTTTAGCGAGACGTTTGTTTTGTGGTAAATCGGGTTCTGGTTCTTTTTTGGGTGGAGGAGTTGGTTCGGTTTTTTTTTGTTGAGGTGGTGGCGGCGGGGTAAAATCAGTATCCATTGGTTCTCCTGCATCTAAACCACCGATTAAGACAGACATTGTATCCCAAAGTCTTGGGTCTTGTATCTTGTCTACTTTACTGGGATCGGTTTGAAGTTGTCTTAACATTTTAAGATATTCGGGATCGTCTAAATAGGCCCTAGTTTTTGGATTATTTCTCAATTTGAATAAAAACATTGGATCAGTCAAATCCATATTAAAACCTAATCCACCACCTCCACCTTCGTTAGTTGAATTTGCTTTAATTTGGCGTACCTCAGCTAAACCATCTTTTAATAGCGAATTATTTGGATCGATTTTTAATCCTGCCTCGTATGTTTCAATTGATTCATCGACTCTACCCAAATAAGCTAAAGCACTCCCTTTTCTTGAATAACCTTTCGACCAATCCGGTTTTAATTGGACCGTTTTTTCTGCATCTTCAAGGGCTTTGTTGTACATATTTGATTTTGCGTAAGCTGCTGAACGATTCGAATACAAAACGTGGTTTTTCGGATCTAAGGCAATAGCTTCGGTGTAACATTTTATCGCCTCATCAAATTGATTCGAATTTAGGGCAGTGTTACCTTTTTCTTTCAATGCGTTCACCTGTATTTAACAAAATTAAATGTTTTTAATCAATTTAGGGTGGTATTTTAGCATGGACGACAAGTTTCTTAATTACAAAAATATCAGTGATGATTATAAATGTTATGATTTAATTATTTACTTGTCAAAATCATTATGATCGTTATAATGAGGATGAAATGATAGAAAAAGTGATACTTTACCTGGTCCATTTTGCCGGTTTATCACTGATTGATGCACGAGTTTTGAAAATGTGAAAAATTGCTAAACTTCCAGAAGTTTCCGTTTCTCACTATTTCTAACCCCACCACCAACGTGATTGTCGCTTTTCTTAGGGATATTTTGCTAATGCCAACGTTAAAACTACAAAAAGCAATTTGGCATATCACAATTAAAACGAAACTAACATTGATTTATTGCAATCACATTCATTTAATTACAATTAATATAATCCTTATCATTTTTTATTAACAACATTTTTAAAATTACTTTAAATTTTAAGGTAATATTAACACTTTTTTATTACGATAGATGGCGCTGTTAACCTTAAGTCAATTTTTACAAAATTTGTATTGTAATTATTTATACTCAAAGAACTTGTTAAAGAGGAAGAACCTTTTTATGGTATTTTTTATTTTATTACATTGTACATAACAACTATAACCACATTTATAATTTTATATCAACTAATTTGATAAATTCAACAAATTCGATAGATGGCGCTGTTAACATTAAGCAAATTTTTACAAAATTTGTTTACTAATTATTTATACTCACAGAGCTTGTTAAAGCTTGTATAAGAGGAAGAACTTTTTATGTTATTTTTTATGTCATTACATTGTACATAACAACTATAACCACATTCATAATTTTATATCAACTAACTTGATAAATTCAACAAATTCGATAGATGGCGCTGTTAACATTAAGCAAATTTTTATAAAATTTGTGTTGTAATTATTTATACTCAGAGAGCTTATTAGTTAAAGCTTGTACAAGCGAAAGAACCTTTTATGTTATTTTTTATTTTATTACATTGTACATAACAACTGTAACCACATTCATATTTTTATATCAACTAACTTGACAAATAGATGGCGCTGTTAACATTAAGCAAATTTTTACAAAACTTGCATAAAATACGAATTATTAATTTAATTTCAATTCAAAATTAAATCAAAATTTATATTTAAAAGGTATAATAATAAAACACCATTTAGATTTACTTTTTCAAACCAATCTTTTTATTAATTAAACTTGACCAACTTTATATTTATCCAAAACACTTTTTGTATCATTCTTATGTAAATGAGTCAATAATTTCAACTCAATATGTTCCACAGCAGCTTTTGTTAAAACTAAAGTATCATATTTTAACATGCTATAAACATTTAAACCATAAACCGGCATTAAATTAAAATGTTTAATTGTATCAGTGGCTGCTGTAATATTCCTTGGCATTATATCACTCCTAAAAATAAAAAAAAAACAAAGTATTAAGAAGAGATTTTAATTATATTGACTTACACATCAACAAATAAAACAGATAAACCCCAATTACGGCTTTTAACTAATTCTTCTATAAACTTTGGTTCATCACTAGGTAAATCCAAATTCTCGACAACATGCAAATCGTCTTGAGCCAATTTTATTGATAAAGTACTTGTCAATCCGTGTAATCTTGTGTAGAAAGGTAACATATAAAAGTGGGGTGTTGGTGATCTTGGCCCATGTATAACACCACCCCCTTTGAACAAAGGGCTTCGAATTGAGCCATGTCTCGCTTTTCCCATTCCTTTTTGTGGCCACGGTTTCCTACCGCCGCCTCTAACCTCCGAACGTACTTTTGTGTGAGCATAACTTACGAATCTATATAGACGTTGCCACCTAACGTTTTGATGGATTATATCTATACGGGGATTACACGCAAAAATCTCCGGATGAAGCTCGATTATACCCAATTTCTTGTCATCTATCGTTTCTAAACTTTCTAACCACACTTGTCGAGGTTTCGCGTAATTAATCGGTATTATTGAGGATAGTTTTGATATTTCAGTTGATTTAGGAATTGTCGAACATTTTCTTAGAATTAACGAAGTGTTTCTTAATTGTGGTATTATATTTGAGAACATTATTATTGGCCGAATAATAACATAACCTAAAATAAAACGTATGAGAAATTGATTTTCATTTTTTAAGTTGGCAATTAAAATTTGACACTAAATTTAAAAAATTAACGATTTATATATTAATTTTTAGGATGAATCAAAAATTTTTGATTATCTTGTTATCCTTATAAATTAATAATAATTAATTTAATTATTAATAATTAAATATTGAAAGAAAATTTTTGAAATAATAGGTTGGTACTTCTAAAGTTTGACAATCTAAAGGCGGGAAATTTTATAGGTTAATATTTAAGAAATAATCATGTTTGGGGAGAAAGCTGTTGGTTTAATTAAAGAATTAGATCGAAATCAAGATTTATTACCGCCTTATAATGCAAGTTAATTAATTTTTTTCTTTATATATTGATTTTATAAAGTTTGTTTTAGGCGGATCTCGTGTTAGAAGTAAAAAAGGAAATCCACGATTTGGCCGTGCAAAATCAAAACGATGCTGCGTAAGTATTTCTATTTTATTATATCCTTAATATATAATTAAACGTAATTTAGGGAGAGTAACGAAACCATGCGAACTCCAGGTTCAATTTCTTATCTTCCTACGGTTCGGATAAGGCATATAGCAATAAAAAGGAATCTTAGGTGTTTAATGGCTTATAATTATAACAGATTAACAACAATAAGAAAGATGAGATGGGAATTTGGGAGTGTTTTGCCCGTTGAAATTAAAGGGAATTTAAGTCCAACTGAATCAGCTTGGTTTACTAGATATTCTAATATTTTAGCAAAGTATATGAGATCGTTGAGCGAAGATGGTATTGTTAATTTGGGGGTTGATTTAAAACCGCCTAAATCTTTATATATACAAGTTAGGTGTCTTACAGATTATGGCAAATTTGAATTAAATGATGGTAGAGTTTTATTATTAAAAAAGAATAGTAGACATTATTTACCAAGGAATGAATGTGAGGAATTAATTAGGCAAGGTGTTTTTCAACACATTATGAATTAAAGCTGTATTTAATTATATTTATTTAATAAAAACAATTTTAAGCCAATTTTACCATACTCCTAAAACAACAAACCATATAAAGTGTCTTATTCATTTCTGATGACGATTTTTAAAATTTTTTTTTGTGTCAGTTTAAAACAAAGTTACATATTTATTGTTTACCAGACAAACGACAAGAATGCGCGCCCCATTTACATATAGGGATTCCCGAACAGCTCAATTGGTTGACGCCAACCCAACGTCAAGTCGTATTGGTTAAACTGCGGTTTTTATCTGTATGTATGTTTTCAGAGAGACCGAAACTGAACACGCACGTCTGTTCCGTTCATTTCTGTTCATTTTCTTCACCGTAGTTCGTATCGGCTTCTGGATTCGATCGCTTCGTCCATTACCTCTGTTATGTGCCAACAAATACAGAAGAAAATTAGTTATTACCCAAAACAACGAATCTTTTTTTTATCCGGCGGAAAATTTGAAACCTATTTAAATGTATCGTGCGTGTTTAATCGGCGCTGCTCTCAAAACACTTCAGAAATTCTCAGGTGAGTTAAACAATTCTATTTGATTTTTCGCGGCTTTTATTTGTTTTAATGTGGGTGTTAAAAATATGGATGTGTTTGAGAAAGGAAATCGTAAAATGTTTTCAGACGTGACGATTTTAAAGCATCTGGATGTATAAGAAATATTGAGAACACGTAAAATCCCAATTGAACGAGGTTGGGTTGCAACATGGGATTTTCTGGTTCGTCATTCTTTGCGCTGGGATTCGAAGGTTTCTTTGTACTTTACATGGTTTACTTCTTTCGGTTTTTTTAAAATTTTTGTTTAATTTCTCTCAACCGTAAGAGAAATATAGCAAATAAAATTCATTTTAATTTATGAATATATGAATTAAATTGCAATTTGAATTTTAGATTGAAGAATCTTTAACTAATTAAGTTAAAAACCACCTAAAAATGAATTTCTTGTATTTTCGGCTTCGTGGCTTCAAAGAAATTGCTTTTAAGATGACATTTTTTTTGTTAAACCGCAATTTTCCTTGTAATTACATAACATAACTGAATGGGGATTCTAGACGCACTGTTATGTATACCTATATTCTTGATTTATTTAATTATGCGTAATGCTAATGTTATCGTTTTAAGTTATTCCAGTAAATAAATTAAAAATAGACCGGTTTGAATATTTATATAAATATTTCTTATATGCGTTATAACGTCCAAGCCAAATTGTGTTTAAGATTTAGGTTATAGCTCATTATTATAGTTATTGATGATAAGTCAACTAAAATCAATGCAATTTCATTTATCATTTCTGCCTTTTCAGGAAATTAGTCATACTTTTTGTTCAGTAACACTTTGAATAACAATGTAAGGTGCGTCATTTTCTTCTTCAATTTTCCATCATTAAGTGATATTGCATATTAATTTATAATAACTATTTCTTTGTGTGTGTTCACTGTTTAACGTATCCAGCACTGGATTGCCGAGCTGGAGTGAAAAAGTAGTCACTGGACTGGATTACTCGGAATAAGTGCATTCCAGTATCAAAATGAAATTACAGCACTGGTTTCGACCACTGGACTGGAATAATGTGAACTGGACATTACACACGGCATAGGAAATAGAATCATTGCAAAAGCAAGTACATATATGTAATACAAGAGATCTTCCTTATTCTAAAATAGGCTAGAGCCTCTTTCTACATCAATTTTGTTCTCATCTCTATGCTGTCATTCCATCTTTTCTTGGCCGTTCAATACTTCTTTTGCCACCAGGTGATTAGTCTGTTGCTAATCGCACAAATCTGTTAGTTATCATTCTGTTGATATGTTGGTTCCATTTTCGTTTTCTATTCCCAATCGTTAATATTTTCTACTTTACATTCTTTTCTTATATATTAAGAATGTTCATCTCAGTTGTTTCAAAAAGTTTTCTTGTTGTTTGATATATTTGGTGTCGTTGTTTTGCTTCTCCAAATGAGTTGGTTGACGTATCTTGTTGTATTCTAACCCAGATCCGAGCAGTAGAACGGAGTAGACGTCATATCTATATTGCGGGGTTTAACTTGGTAGATTTAGTTTAACTGTTCACTCTCTATTATCGTATTTGTTCACAATGCTGTATCAAATAAATGTGCTATTCTAAGGATCTTACATTGACGTGTGGGTGTGCAATGCGTATGCGACAAATTGAAATTTGATCATTTTGCACATCTTGATTAAGACATAGAAATAAAAGAAAAATCAACTATTAATCGTTACTTTAATTACCAATACTATCAAATCAAATTGCAAAATAATGCATAAAACAAGACATATCAAAGAAAATAGAACGTAAGCAATTAGTACGATTATTTCATGAAATCCCTCACAAAGGGTTACAAATCTCATCGTTGCAACGGGCTTCTCTCGACCAACGATCTTACTTCTCCCTTTCTGGTTTTGGCTCGTTTTGTCTGAACCTTTCCACTGGAATCCACCCTAGGAACTCGTACTCCAACTCATGATGATTCAATCCTCTTCTGGAACTCGACCTCTTCTTTGTTTCTCTCATTAACTGGAAATCTCCCAATTGATCCAGGACTGACTCTCCAGCTCTCCAGCTCTGTCTCGGATTTCAAAGACTGACTCTGTTCTTCAGTGGTTCATCTCTATTCCAAAAAAACTGAGTCTTCATAACTGACTCTAATTAACTACTTCTAAGACTATAACTCTATATGACTCTCCTTAAAGCTTTTAATTAACTAACTCTGAGATTTTTAAACCCTTTCGTTCAGAGCGCTCTTAATCTAAACAATCGTTACCATTTGCCAGACAACTCTGACCGCTGAAAATGTTCCGCACTGAACTAAAGTAGGGATGAAGTCATACAGAGAACCTTGTATGTATGTATGCCTTCTGCAACATTTTTATAGATCAATACAAAATTAGCATAGTTTATGAAATTTTTAAAATTTCTTAAAGCTCGGCATTATTGAATAATTTTTAATAGTTACTGTAGATGAATAACGCTCATCCCTTTAAGATTTCGTTTAACACATTGAGGCCTGTGCAAGCAGCTACGGTTTAGAAGACTTATTAGACCAATGCAACTAATATTAGACAAATGCAACTACAGTATTATTGCAATGCCAGAGATAAATTAAATATTGATCTATCTACCTTTGTCGATTGTTGTCTCTGGTAATAAATTGGTAAACAATCGGCTATGGAACCAAAACCAGGAAATCTAAATTAGACCATATTAGATATTTGTTATCAAAACAAGTTGCAAGCTAGATGTCTACGGAAATATAATGACATAAATTTATTTGGACAAATGATGCAACCAGGACTAATAGACATAGACTATCAACTAATACCATCGACATTACCAAGGTCAGTGAAAAACATTGACCGAACAACATGAAGATGATGAGACAAGAACAAATTCGTGTTGATTATACTAAAGAAGCACAAAACGCTAAATATCATCCCTATGATCAAAAATAATTTATCTAAACTTCCGTCATTATAAAATTCTTGCGATGCTTAAGCAATCTAAAGATTTAACGAAAGAGAATTATGCCGTAGACATTGAAATTAGTGTACAAATACCTAAATGGTATAGAATAAGTACAATGATAACTCGAGGTCTACTAGTGTGGGAGTTAATGGAGTTGGTTTCTATCTTCTTCTTCCTATATTGGATATTGTTCTTACTTCTTTTACTCACATTTTTAACTTCTCCTTTGAACGATCCTCATTCCCTTCAATCTAGAAGGTTGCTCATGTTGTCGCTATACCTAAATCCGAGAGTCTCTCAAGTTTAAATGATTTTCGCCCAATTTCCATTTTATCTGTTCTATCCAAAGCTATCGAGCGCCTTGTTTACCTACAAGTTCAAGAGTATTTACAAGAATTTAACTTGCACAACGAGTTTCAATTGGGTTTTCGTAACGGTCATAGCACAATAATAGCGCTTATTAAGATTACAGATGATATTAGGTATGCTTGCGACAAACGTTGTGTTACCATCCTTGTACTACTTGATTTCAGCAAGGCGATAGATTCGGTTTATCTCGATCTCTCGTTAGCGTCACTAGCTGCCCTTGGATTTATCTCTTCATGTTTATCTCGGTTTCAATCTTACCTTTCTTGTCGTTCCTTGTGTGTATGTGCTGATTCTGCGCTCTTGTCTGCTTGTGATATTAAATGTGGTGTACCCCAGGGTAGTGTGTTTACACCCATTGCATTTCTTGTAAATATCACGTGTATGCTGATGACCTCCAAATTTACGCTACGACAACTATTGATGATTTTTCGCAAGCAATTGCACGTCTTAATCATGATCTTCCTAATATTTTGGATTGGTCTAAATGTTATGGCCTTAAATTAAATACTGCTAAAACTCAAGCAATTGCGTTTGGCAGTCGACCTTTACTGGCAAAGCTGAATGATTTTTCATCCATTCACTTAATGCTTGACGGAGACATTATTCAGTTGTTAGACATGGTTAGAAACCTTGGGATTCTACAATGTCTACAAGGTCTATCATTGTTTCCACTCGCTGAAAAGTCTTCTTTGCTTCCTTCCTCCCATGGTATATCGTAAGCTTTGTTTTTCTCTGATTTTCCCCCATATAGATTATGTTGACATGGCATATCCTGATCTTTCGGTAACACTCCGAAACAAACTGCAAAGACTTCAAAACAACTGCATACAGTATATCTTTGATCTCGAGAGATCTCAACACATAACTCCATACCGTAATTATTTACTGATATTAAGCTGTCAGAACCGTAGATCGTTTCGTATATTAACTATGTTATATACTGTTCTTCACAATCAAACACCAAGGTATCTGTACTGTATATTTCAACGCTTGTCGTCGCATGATCTCGCATTAGATCTTAGTTAGATTCTCTGCTTATGTTCCCGACCCATAGTACCGAGATTTACCATAAATTGTTTACTGTGCAGGCGATAACCCTTTGGAATAGTTTGCCTAGTGAGATCCGTAATATTCCTCACTTTGTGACATTTAAAAACCATCTAAAACGTTA